GTGGCCGGCACCCAGTCCACGGTGGCCGGCACCCAGTCCACGGTGGCCGGCACCCAGTACACGGTGGTGGCCCGTGGACCGCACTCCGCGTCCGACATGCTCGCGGCCAAGACCGCCGCCGACCCGTCCGCTCCCGTCTTGTTGTCCGTCCGCCAGCTCGTCGAGTGAACCACGTGCGAGGTGTACGTTAGGTTGTGATGCACGGCCAGACGAAAGGGTGATGGGTATGTTTAGGAGTCCGATACACTTCGCCACATGACAAACGTGTTCGACGGTGGCGTTCCGAGTGACTTCTTTCTTCGGCGACAATTATCGGTTGTCTGCCGCCGATAAGGAATAACGATTCTGATTTCTAACCCCTTCCCTTAGACCTCCCTGGAAAAATGTACATTCATGTTCTGGTTGACGGTTGAAGACGTGCGACTCGAAAACGCAAACACCGAATAGAACAAGCCAGTCGCCTCCGCAGGCTACCACGTTTGTATTCGGAAGCGACTGAATGATCTACAAGACCAAATTCGACGTTTTCATGGTAAACGTCCATGGAAAAACGGTACAACATACTCACATACATATAAACATATCATTTTCAAATATATCAATAGATTTTATCCAATATAGATATTCCGTGATTCTTGTTTTATAATTATTTATTAATTTAATGAAATTCTTGTTTGTATTGTAAACATAATATTAATAATTATTTATCTACTAAATATTGACTTGTACATAATAAATGTAATTTAATCGATTTTCATAGCATAGGTATTAAAAAAAATTCAAATCCCATATTTAAATGAACCATAGAACAACACTATTATTTATGAAGGCTGAAAATCGAAACATATATTTCTTTTAAAAATATGTTTCGTTAATTTTTAATATTATCATTACACATTTAAATTAAAAATGTGATTTATTTTAATTGAAAGCCTATAATAAAAAATCAATTCCACTTTATGATCACATGCTTTATAAACAATTATTACGACAATTTTACAACAATATATTAAAGTGCTTATTGTAATGTATTAATGATCTTTATAATATTATAAAAATCTGACATGTGTAATATTATACTCTGATGATAGTTTTTTAAAAAAGAAATTTAACTCGGAGCAATCCACCAATAACTAATTTTTGGTAAAATCATTTATTTTTATCTATATATTCAAATATAAATTAAATAGCCTTCATCAAGAAATTTTCCGATTTTCCGATGATATGTCAATCAGTTCCTGTGATGTGTAGCTTTTAATATTGTAAAAATGTATTCTAAATCATTACATTTTTATACATAGCGGTATTAAAACATAAAATACTTTTAAAAGTTTAAAATCAGATAATTTTTTTTTTAATTTTATTTAATCATTTTATAAATAAAAGAGGAAATATAATCCTCAATATAATATGTACCATAAAATTAATTTCTTAGTAAAAATGCAGAATGAGATTTTATCTGTTCTCAATTATTCATAATTGTATTTATTTTGAATTAATAGTGAAATAACGTAATAAAAGTTACAAAATATCGACAGACTGGAATAAACATATTACAATTTTTTCTTAAATTGATAAATTTTGAAGTTATTTGGTAATTTTATTTTATATTGTAGCTTCTAAAGTATAT